TTTTTATTTTTATTTTTATTTTTATTTTTATTTTTATTTTTATTTTTTTACAGAAAGGCATAAGAGGACACAATGCTTGGAGATTTAAGGACAATGGTATAAGCAACATTTCAGTGTTTAATGAAAGCACTGTCTGTCTATTGCAGAATAAATGGAAATTTGACTGCATGGGCTTGATCTTGTAGGAATGTTCAGTGCCTGTTTATGATGCTGAAAACAATCATTTCACACAGATTTAATCAAAATACCAGAGAGTTCAGGTGCTGGAGGCACCTGACACTTTGCTGTATTATGTCTTTTCTCCGTAGAGCAACTTAACAAGTATAGCGAGCAAGTTCCATATTTCTGTCTTATTAATCATGTTGCAAAAGGAAAACAGCATGAGTGATCATCTTACTATGGTTCCTTATTAAAAAACTCCATGAATACCTTTTGGTCTTTAGTCTACCTTTTACTTCCAACTAAATTCGGCATTAAGGCAGGTGTGTGACTGGAAGGTGTGATGCTCTGAGACTGTCTTCATTAAAATCAGTAGAGGGGCAGAAAATAGCAGTCCAAGCAGTGTGCTGCCAGCTAGCCAACCAAAAAAATGTGCAGCAGCTGATGAGCACTCATGCTGCTCTGAGCCAGGCATAGTGGCTAATGCTTGTTTTTTGGCTGTTGTTAGGACACTTAAGGGGAACAAGCTCAAGACATAGTTTTAAGGTAGGCTATAGAGCTTGGGGAAGAAGTGAGGAGTTTATAGAAGAGAGAGGAAAGTGAAATGTGGTTTTACAATGCAGCACAAAGTTGTCATCGATCACTTGCCAGTAATAGGACCTGAGGGAATCACATGGACTTCCATCAGGAGATGGTCAGGTTGAGTGTTAGGAAAAGGTTCTTCATAAGTGGGTGGTTAGATCCTGGAATGGCTCCCCAGGGGAGAGGTCATAGCACAAAGCCGCTGATGTTCATGAAGCATTTGAATAATGCTCTCAGACATAGGGTCTGAATTTTGTATGGTCCTTTTGTGGAGCCAGGGGCTGGACTAGGTGACCCTTGTAAGTCCCTTCCAACTTGGGATATTCTGTGATTCTAAGCATATTGTCAGAATGGTGTGAAGAGGATGATGGAGAGATGTCAATAAGACTCATGCTTTGTTACTTCTGCTACCCAGGAAACGTCATGTCATGTAGGTAAGAAAACCAAAATTGGAAAGTATTTCTGTGGTACCAGGTATGGAGCTCTAAGGTTTCACTGTATTATTAAGAAAAGGTGAAAGACGAACAAGACTACAACAACACACCCAAAACTAAGAAGTCCCATGCATGATGGAATGAAGCCAGCCTTCAGCGTGCTCTTCTGTGGGGAGACTGAAAAGTCTAATAAATGTCAAGCATTTCAATATTACCTGAACTATCAGAGATAATGTCTGCATCCAAAAAGCTTATTTTTTGAAATCTGAAGTAGTTTTGCATCTTTTAAACTTTCCACTAGGTTTAAAATTAAGTCGACTATTAAAATGTAGTCAGGTAGGCACTGCAGAAACATTTAAGCCATCAAACTGAAAATGACCACTAGATAATTCAAGTGGGCATTATGGAAGATGACATATATTCAAGTTATTTAAAGTGTAAGCTGTATCTTATACTGCAGAAGATGATATTCAAATTCAGGAGGTGAACTAGAATTCCCTCCATGTAGTCTTGTGAGGACATAAGTTGCAGCTATGTGGGAGGTCAGTTTACTTGGCAGAAATAAGCTACCTGAATATGCTGGTTGCTATCTTCTGTCAACCACTAAGCTACGTACATCAGTAGCACTGTGGTAACCACTGGAGATCTGACCAGAGGGAATTTGGTCAGATGTGGCTTTCAAGATTAATAATAAATCTACTTTTAAAAAATAAGGGTATATACCATTGTATCACATTGCTGAATTACATACTGAGCAGATACTCAAATTTGTGACCATTTTGATTTATCTCGATATGTTTCTAATTACACAAAGACTTTTCTTTTGCTTCCAAGTGCCCCTTGGAACACTAAAACAGCTATTTAAAATCCATTTCTTATGTAAAATTGCAGAAATATTTAAGTCATCATTTCCCAAATAATAGATGTAAAATTATGATTGTTAGACTTCAGGAGTCTGGATTTGATTAAACATTTTATTAACATAGTGGCATTTGAATTGTCCAGATGTAAAATGAATTCATAGTTGTAATTACTAATCAATCAAAAATTTGGCTTTCTATATTTTTATATATGTGCTTATTGAATCAATTTTTAATATAATATTACTTTCTGAACATAATTATTCTAATAAAAGATTTATTCTATGGAGTTTTATTCATATTGCAAATGCTGCAGGATCATAGCATACTTTCAGATTTTAGAACAAATCTTCAGACAAAGTCATACATCATACACAATATTAATCCCGTTTTCTGTCTATTTTCAAGGAACTGCATAATTTCTTCATGTCTCCTGATGGCTCACCGTAGAGAGGATTTGAAAAAGAGGTAGCATTCTCACCTTCATTAAATGGATACTATAAATAAAAAAGAACAAAATTTAAAAAACAAATAATTAATTAGTTAGAATGCATCTGTCTTACTGGAATTTTTTTAATTATTGTATGATATAACAAATAGCTACAGTAAACAGCATTAATGAAATTACTATTATGAGGATCTTGGCAGCCAATCTAGCCCTATTATCTTCCTAAGACACTAGCACCTTCCAGATCTGCTAGTATTTTTAACAGCACTGTAAGTGACTGTTTTCTCTTTCCCCTGCTACGGCATTTTATTTAAAAGGCCAACACACACCCTACTTTAGAAATGTATTATTACATACCTCATGCCATGGAGAAACACTGACTTGAACAGCAGGTGAAGTAGTGTATCCCGGAAACTGTAAAGAGACACAACGGCTTCAGAATAATTTTTTTTGAGCTGCAAATGATATTCAGAAAATATCTTTCCATGTGGCTGTCAGACTAACACACTCTGTGAACGCCAATAGACAAGTGTAAGACAATGCGAGGCTTGCATAGTTTCAGTGCTCAGAAAAGTTTAGAAAGATCTGTTCTTTCTTTATGAAACTGAGATGCCCGCAAGTGCACCACTTATGTGTGCTCAGCTGGAGATAAGAGATGTTGTTCAGTTTTTATAGTATGTTTTGATTTGTGATATACCATTCAGATTTAAGGTTCATCAGACACAAACAAAACTCACAACTTTTGTTTTTCACTTTAGAGGAAGAATTAGTAAACACGTATCTTCAGAATCTTAAAGAGAAGAGAGGAAAATTTGGTACAACACTGTGCTTCAATCGCAGTGCCTGTAGCTGCCCTCACTGAAAATCTCTCCCCTGGCACTGTGCTTCTGTTTTTCAACTTGCTATTAAAACAAGACTGTCAGGAGTATATTTTAAATGCAATACAAATATCCTGATAAATTGTATGTTATTGAGGTGGGAATATTTCCTACTTGGAGCTCTCATAAACTCAAGCCTGTAAATGAATTATTTGGTCTAATGTCTCTAAAATCACCTGTAAGGAATCTTTAAGAGATTGTACACGACGTGTCACAATCTTGTTTAAAACTGTGGCAAAATATTATATTACTGACTGTGGAAGGGACAAGGAAATTCCATCTTTCTATTTCTATCCTAGCTTAATTGTTTCAGTTCTGATAAGGGTAATATCAAAATGAGGATAGAAAGGATGTTTTAAATTTCATTTGGCTCCCTCTAAATTCAAGGTGATTCAAATTTATTATTTCCAGTGATAAATAACACAGAAAGCTGCATTTAAAGTCAAGTACATTTCTCTTGTGAAATTTAAAATATAAATTATAGCTACCACTCTGTTGTTACAGCTAAATCTTGACTTGAATTCTTTTACTATGCTGTGTTCACATTTAGACATACACTTTATTCACAGACGTCTTCTTTACCCTAGGAGTCTCTCAATTATGATCAACAAGTAGCATTAGGGAAAAACGTGACCAAGGAGCAGACAATGTATAGACTTATTAGATTACTTTCAAAATGAATCTTACAGTGATGGAAATAATAATGCACATTTTCTTTAACTGAAAGCGTGAAAACAACTTGAGCACCTCTGTGTGTGACGCTTTATTGCTGTTGTTTTATATTTTTTTTCCCTGAAGTAAAAGGAGACAAATCCCAATAATAATTCTCTTTGATATATCTGGCTAAACACTTCATCTAAAATTATTTAGTTTTTTTTTTCTTTTTTTTTTTTTCTCAGATTCAGCAGCCCACAGACAGTATTAGTTATAATCCAGTATTAGTTATAAACATCAAGATGTTCTCAGAATTGGGCTAATTTCAAATCTGCTATACACTGGAACTGATCTGATGCAGCAGTTTTTAAGTCTTTAATTTTATTAAATAAGAATCACTGGTGGGTTATGCTATTTGTCTTAGTGGGAAACCTATTTGAGGGCTACAAACTTGCACAGTTTTGAATACATAGAACTAGCCGTTGCTGCTTACCTTTGCTTTTCCAGATGAACTAAGATCTTCATACAATGGATTGGCAAATGAAGTATTTATAGTTTCCTCTACTTTCCTTGAAAAGTCAAACAAAAAACAATAAAACTCTCCAAAACCACACAGGTTCTCAAAGAATCAGATAATTTCAGGATGAAAAAGACTTTCTAAAAAGTGAGAAAAAATTAAATGGCTAAATATATTCTCAATTCAACTCTACTAGAATGAATGAAAACAAATATTTCTTCCATATAAGTGTGATATTAAAAAAATTATTTTTCATTTGTTTCTGTTAAAAAATATATGTGCTTGGATATGCATAGAGCTATTAAGTATTCATAAAATGCAGGCATTGTGCTATACATTAGCTTAAACAAGATATTAGCTAAAAAGTTGCATTGCTTTAATGTGCCCGGACTTTTAAAATTAATGCAGGGAAAGCATTTTAGGCTATTTATATAATCAGAAATAGCTTTACTATTGTAAGTATTCTTCATACTTTTTTTTGCTGGAAAATCAAGAATATTTAAAAAATCCCTGAAGACACCAGATTGTAAAAGTTTCATGAATGGATGTAATGCCTTAAGCAATTAAAAATGGACAAATAGGAGAAATTGTGGGTCTTCTATTCATTACCTCACCAAGAAATTTAAACATATGCTTTCCCAACAGAGGCCTTCACACATTTCACTTTTTTTCTACCTATATCTGAAGTTTTTTTTTTTTCTACCTATATCTGAAGGTTTTTTTTATGTATAGATGACTTCTGAAAAGATGCATTTAGCTTTTTTTTTTTTTCCCCCAATGGTTCTTTTAAGAGTAAAAATATCTCCCCCATTGAACTTCGGCAATTTGTGCAAGGCATATACATTACATACATGTCTTCATGCATACAAAAAACAGTGTTTGTACAGTACACTAAAATAAAAAGTTCTCTAAATACGAATATTCAATTACAAATCCAGACATGGATTTTCTTCTATTAAAAAAGTAGTGCTATTCCAAAGCTGCTCCTACAGGTGCTTTAAGTGCTCTCTCCTTATTAACTTCTATCCAGCCTCTGTGTTACAGCACTGAAGGTACAAGAGAAACCACCATGGAGAAGCCATGAAGACACAGATGATGGAGTGGTTAGGAAGGGAAGTTGTTGATTCTCAGTGAGAGCCAGGGGCAAAATACACTGCATGATTTCTTTAGCAAAGAACTGAAATCAGAATAGATGCTCAGGAAAACTATACAGGTAGTATACAGAAATATATCCCCTTATGAGTTAAATCTGTGCAAGAAATGTTGTAAACTAAAACAGATATGTATCCTTAAAATCTTTCACAAGACTGTCAGAAAGCAATTCCTTCCAATGTCAACATCATAATTCCTTTTGATTTCCTGTCACGGCAATGTGGAGAGCTGAATACTTGAACCTGTTGGTTTGTTCATGTGCCCTCTATCATACAGTTAATTATTCTTGGCATTCTGATGCTGTTAGTTTGGTGAAGCTATAATATACTAGGTTATTTATACACATCTGAGTGCATATTTGCATACTAATTCTCCCAAATAAAGTCCATAAAACTTACAGAGAATTGATTTTTTTACTCTAAAATTACCCCTTAGTTCACAAAACCTGAGGCTAGAAGAAAACTCAAATAAGAAGTTTTCAAGAAACTTGGCTGTGCTTGTAAGTTTGTGCCTGAAGATTTGCATGCCTTTATTTTGGTACCTCATTCAGACAACACAAACCATATGTACGGGCTAAGATCATGATATGGAAGTAAGGTTCTGCTTGAGTTAATGAAGACACTTACAAAGGGCAAATTACACAGTTTACAGAGGGAACAACCCAATGTGCCAATAGGAGATGATAAGGATAGGGATGGTTCTGATTTGTTTTTGTTCCTCAAAGAAGTTAAGACATTCTTACATATTTGAGCAAGAGCATTCCAAGTTCCTAGCTGTATCCTGAAGGTAGAAAGGAAACTGAACACAGATCTCTAGCTTCCTCTGCAAGTCCACTAACCAGCAGGCTGCCGTGCAAAACTGAGGGCATAAAAATGTGTTGGCTGTGTTCTTCAACATCTCTCTGTATTTTGTGCTGAAATTGGTCCAGCTTATGTGTGTAAGGTTTTTTTAAGCATAGTAATTCAGATTTCCTCAGGTTATCCAGCATATTTCAGATGTCTTTACAGTTTAGGCCTGAATCACGAAAGAGTTTATGCAGCCAGGCATTTAATAGGAATTTAAGGGCAAAATAAAGGCACCAGTTGTTTTTATGCAATATAAATTGATTTATATGAAGCGAAGAATAGGCTTTACAAACTGATCTCTTGCTTTCAAGGAACTTAACGACAAAGTAGTGCTTTGGATTTCATATTAACTTGCATAACATAAGTCACATATATGTTACCACTGTACAAGAAGGGCAAGGGTAACCCACGGCTCACAAAAATTATGGTTCAGAATAACTAATAAATTTGAAATGTAGAAAAAGTAGAAAACCATAAGTGCCAAGTCCAGGAGAATGTACCAAGCAGGGAATAAGAATAATTAGAGTTAAAAAAGCCAAGCATATGATGTTTCAGAAAAGGAGAACAGCAACAAGAAAAATGATTCAAACATGGGTAAAGCAGTTCAGAGAGAACTGTGTTTTCTAACATAACCATATATACCACAATAGGAAAGTAATAATCATCGTGGGATGTAGACCAGGTCACATGGGTAATGGTTTTGTTAAACACATCTGCATCTCCTAGTAAAAAAACTGCTGCCTTCTCTTAGGTTTTTCCATATAACTTCAGCCATATGGGAGAAGGTTATCTACTCCACAAAATGTCTGCCTGTGTAGAAAGGGACTGCTCAGTAACATCATGTTTTCTAGCGGAGAAGTATAGAATATGGATTTCATTGGTTTGGAGATAAAACTGAGAATTCTCCACTTTTCAATATACTTCTCAATTAAAAATTAAGTATTTCTGTTGTCAGTGCACAACTTTGTAGGAAATACAGTACAGAATGTTTATCATCAGGTTCACATAAGAATAAATTCCTAATGGACCAAAGAGTCAATTAAAATTAAGATGATCATTAAAATAACTCCTTAAAATAATTCTTTATAGAGGTTTCAAAGCTTCTGCTTTAAATACTAACTGCAACTCAAGATCTCAGTTTCCAAATCATCCTTGAAATCTTTTAAGCTAAACTTATGTTTGCAAAAATACAATATATTTTGTGTATCCCACAGAAGAAATGGAAGACAGGAAGGCAGCCACTTTAAAAGTTCAATTTAGAATCACTTTAAAAGTTGCTTTGTTGCTTGATTAGCTTATTAATATGCTGCCTGGGCTTTCTAGGTCCACACTTTATATATTGAGTCATTTAGGATAGTTTATATATGTACATATATATTTGGTCGGTTCTTTGCATCTTGATACTGAAGCCTCCAGAACAAGAGATTTCCTCTGTTCTTTCAGCATGTCACTTGCAGTTTCTTTGCTTGCTTTTCTAAGTGTGCTAGCCATGAGATATACATATCCAAAAAACTCTTAGTAATAGTAGAAATAGATGAATATTTCTTATAATAGCAATAGTTTCAATGCTTCAGAAAAAAAATATTCTACAGAAGAAGGAATGGATTAGGATAGCAACATTAGACTAATAAAACAGCTCCCAAAGAACAGATATGGTTGCTGCTTCACAACTTTTTTTCTTTTTCTCCAAAACTATATCATTTTCTCTCCTTCTACAAGAAGAGTATATTTTTCTCCTCTAGTTCACAAGCCAAAAAGAACTGAAAGAATGTAATTATATTGTCATTTTGTTAATCACTTTGGGATATAGGAACAGAAGCACAGCCACCTCAGGCAGTTCTTCAAATGCCCTTGGAGAACCTTCTCTGGAATACACTATTCATTTCTCCACACCAAACTTTCAGAAGGATGTGGTCTAATTGGAGAGGGTCTTGGGGACAGCAACTAGGAACGGTCATTTTTGTAAGTAACCTTTAACCACCACCATAAAGAGAGGCTGAAAACTCTGAACTTATTTAGCTTACAGAAAGCTAAACACTGTAGGGAGGTACAAAAAAGTTCAAGTGTATATAACAAGTTTTTTGCAGGGAGGAGGGGAATGTTTATCTACGTATCTCCGTGATGACAAGAACTAATGACCTTAAATTGCAGAAAAACATCTCGAGAGTTAGGGAAAGACCCATCTTTCTTCTTGCAGTACCAAAATTGTCCTAAGAGACAGTCAAATCCATGTTACCTGAGTTCCTTAAGTGCAAATGTAGAAGAGTCATATTTGAATCTTTCCTGTGGCAGGATGAAGAATTACATTTATTGGCCCTGGTTTCCCATGACTTTCTATCATTCTAAAATATTTTGTATGAGCTCCTCAGTTTTTCAGTCTCTTGTCTACACAGTAAGATATATTATTGATATGCTTCTCAAATTTTGCATTTTGTAATCATTTTAACTGATAGAACTGATAACCACTTTGGTGCATTAGCATTGCAGCTGATGGCATAGGTCAAGATTGGGAAAAACATAAGATGAAAGGATCCAGAGACATCAACTGCACTGGAGGCAATAGCTATGTTTCTACATAGCTTAGCTAGATGGAAAGTATTTAATTTTCACTTTTTGTCTTTTGTTCTTGAAAACAAAATGAAGCATGAGAGGGCAGATGTATTAAATGGAAGTCAAAATGCAGTTTTGCTTCTATTCAGTCAATAGGGACAGATACACTGGAGAAGTGAAGCAACTGGCAGCCTTCCCTTCTGAACCAGAACATGTCATCTCTGGAACATGAACAAGAATATGAGAAACATACATGCTTCCTCCAATTTGAGAATTCTCTACAAAAATTTCACATATATCCACCTGGGAGCAGGGAAGTTGCTTGCATATCTGAATGCCATAGATTTTACTTCATTCTACTAATGAAGTCAACTGCTGCCAAGTTCTGTTGCAGGCTGCTTTTGTCCATTAGTAAATAAATACAATGACTTCCAGTAACTCCCACTTAGACTCTGATAAGTTTCAAGCTTGAAGATCAGAGATGAAATTATTGTTAAGGAAGGAGGGGTGAACAAAGTGAGAGAAGAGCATGTTGTCTGGATTGGAGTGAAAGCTTATACCACTATCAGTCTTTCCAGAGAAGAAAAAGAGGGACGATATGAAACTCTCAGGTGCTCACTGCTTAATTACGACAACTTCCAAGAGCAACATTTTGTGTTTAAGGACTCACCAGTGTACTCCTATTGCCTCCTAGCTGGCTTGTTACTGAGAATGTTATTTCTGTGGAATCTGAAAATTTAGCTTTTGTGCACATTCTTGTGCTATTCCATTTGAGGCATAGGTGGATCTGCATTAAATTTAAAAGTGTGCTGAGAGCTAACAAATTCTGTTAGTGTGCTTCTTTGAGGAGCAGCTACAAATTGTTTTTTTGTTTTGCATTTGTTGTTTTATAGCGGGACAGAAAAAAGGAGATCCTTAGAAAAATTATTAAAAATAGTTAAACAGCAAAACATTTTTTTCAGAAGGCAGTAAATTTGGGCTTAAGTGTGTAAAATCTTCCTTGTGAAAGAGAGCAGACACTTTAAAGTATGGAGTTCCTCTAATGCCTAGTGCCCTTAAGAAAACAACACAACCCTGAAAGTCTAAAAGAAGATACAAGCCTCTGAAATGAAAATGGAAAGTATCATGTGCACAATTATTGCTTTTAGTTCATCAAATTCCATTAAAAAAAGAAAAAGAAAAAAAAAAGTAATCAGGAGAGTTAAATCTCATGCCTCTATGTGGTGCTGTCACATTGTTCATTTTACAGACTTATGCAAATACTAGTTACTTCTTTTTCTCAAGCTTTATCTCACATATCCAAAATACAGTATTATAACATTGTTTAACTTTGGACTAGTCATTGCTGATTACTCATTAAGTAGTTAAGAAATAAATTGCATCAATTTACTGCTATGCTTCCAGCCAAGATTTTTATAAACCAACCTGTGCTGGTTACCAAGTATGTAAAGACAAAGAGAAAAACTTGAATTTCTGTTGTCAAAGTTTCAGATTTCAATGTTTTCACAAGTTAAAAATTTCAATGAAACTGACACTCAGTAGTTAGATTATTCCTTGACGATGCCTGCAAAATGCATGCAAACTAACGTGTTAAGTCAACTATGATTTAAAACAATGCAAATATAAATGTATATTCTGTGCCATGGGTTAAGAAATTTGATAGCATTAGTCAATTCCTAATAGAAAAACCTCAGAGCCACAAAAATCTCCAGCATTATCCTTCTGGTAGCTCCAGTGAAAACAAATCAAAACAAGAATGAATAAACTATCTAATCTAACTATCCAATCTGTTACGAGATATGGTTTAGTAGCTTAGTGGGCAGTAATGGTGACAGGAGGATTGTTGGATGAGATGATCTTGTAGACCCTTTCAAACCCTGTGATTCTATGATTCTATTATTCTCCTCCTGTTTTTTTTTTTTTTTTTTTTTTCCACAGCTCTGACTCTCTTCATTTCAGAGATGTCATACTAAGAAGATTCTCATTCAGCCCTATTTTTCTTCATAACTAACAGGATGCTTAAGTGTTTGGCATATTGCAACGTGATAACTGTTCATGGATCAACATAAAAAAAAAAATCTCTAATTTATTTTAGCATATATACCTACAAGAAAGGAAAAAATATTCTTCAAATACAGATATGACAGGGGAAGAGAAGTGGAAGGCAGTGCAGCAGCCCTTAAGCAAATATTTGTGAAAGAAAAAGGAAGTGTTTAGAACGCAAGAGAAAGTAGCTTAAGAAAAACAATTTCATTTAAACATCGTCAAACATATTTTATTTGAAAAATATTAATTGAAATTACAAACAAATTTACACAGCTCTTGAGATACAACTTATCTTGCACTTCTGAGGTGCCTTTCTATGTATTACTTCACCAAGTTGCATAAATGGAAATGAATTAAGCTTAAAGCTTCTGTGAAGTAAGATAAAGCAATGCTATTATTCCCACTTTACAGAAGGTGAAGTAGACATAAGGAAAGTAGGTGATGCTATGCACTCATTTAAGAGTAGCACAGTCACTAAATGTTCTTGCTTCAGTGTTTTGCTTCTGTGTCCATAGACAATCCTATCTGCCAGGGGTGGAAAGCAGTGTTAGGAAAGGTGTCAGCAGCAATAATATCAGGGCAGATTGCGCAGTTCAGTAGATAGTTTTGGAGATAGCAATATCCCCAAAGTATGAAAGGTCTATAGCAAAACAGAGGTTGAAAGGAAACGAGACATCTCTGAATATGAGTTTTAGAGAAGAAAATGAATAGTGAAGGAAATCGGACAACATGAGAGTGAAGAAGGGAGTTCACTATAGGAATTCCTGAAAGGGAGGAAGTGATACTTGTTGCTGGTGGAGAAGGATTGAGCAGAATAAGCAAAGAGATAGGCAGAGATGAAAATATAGGTGCTATAGGAAAATAAAAAACCAGCAAAAAAATCTTAGGCAGAAGAGAACAAGTAGAAATTATCAGAGCAATGACACAAAGGGCTAAAAGATAAGAGATCTGCGAAATAATGCATGTCAACCTGGGATAGGTCCTATAAAAATGAAATCAAATAATTGGATAAAGAAAGACCTTTAGTACTACTAGCAATGTTATCCAAAGCACTTGAAATATATTTTTAAATAAAACAGCACCAATTCTTCTGATTTCTTTCAATCAGTGAAGATGATCTTTATGTAGGAGGGTGCTAGAAGACAATGTCCTTTCTGTTTGCACAGTACTGATAGCAAGTTGGAAGAAAGACACATTTGGGGAAAAAAAGCCACCATCCAGAGCACTCATTCATCACATGCAAGACCAGTACTTAGACCACAAGCTGAGAGTCTGTACTGGAGTGATCCTAGTGGAAGCCACTATAGAATCGGACAATGGGTGTGAGACAAAGAGGCAGAGTGAAGAGGTGAAAGGAATAGACATGGTGTCAAAATAAACACTGATTAAGAGGACTAATACAAAATCAAACAGGAAGCCAGATTGTCAGCGTGTCCAGGTACCAAAGAAGAGGAGACAAACAGTATGATTTGTGGAAATCTTCATGTGATGCTGCAGTTTTACAGCTTGATTTTTTTTTTTCTGATGTATTAAAGATTTTTTTAATGAAAAACACTGATCTTTCAAAGTGGAAAAAAAAGCCTGGTCTTATGCCACTCAGGTATCACAGGTAAAAGTAAGTTCTCAGATGTGTGTAAATATTGAAATAATTTAAGGCAAAAATGTTCTCAAGGGAAACATGTCCTCGGTAGCTTCCGAAAAAGCTGTCAACCTGCCTTTAATAAACTAATTTGGCCTCAGAGATAAAGAAACCACAGATACATCATGTTTTTCACATTTAACCATCTTGAACAAAAACAGAGATACTGCTATTAAGCTGGATGAACTTTAGTACTACTATAAAGTTAATCATATGAAGCTGAATCAAAATGTTCTGAAAGTCACGCCATCACTCATTTTTAGTGGACTCGGGTCCACTAAGATTAGAACTAGAATGTTGAAAAGCTAGACTGAAGGGGGATTTAAATGTTGAAACCAAGGAGACTGGGCAGTAAGCCATTGCTTTGTGCCACACGTGTGCCTGCCTTATACAGAATAAAAGTTTCACTTACATTTTGTGCTCTTTCTTCTTTGACAGGAAACATAAGGCACCAACTGCAATTTTAATCAGCAAGAAACTGATCCCCAACCCAATCCAAATATCTGCAAAATCAGAGCAATCAGACTGTTATAAGAAAAAAGAAAATACTGAAAGGATGAATAGAAAGATATTTCTTTTTTCCAGACCCAACCCACCATTTTGGAGATTTGAAATGGGAGATTGAAGAGGCTTAGCACTTATGTGACAACGGTTTCCTTTCCATTCTTTTCCACATCTGTGAATAAAAAAAAATAAATCTGAAAAGATGAGAAGCAAGGATCATAAACTATGGCAAGCACACAAGTATTTTTGCCTCTGATCAAGGCTCAACTAGGAATTTAGGTTAGAAATACATAAAATAAATAACCCCCCTTCTAATAAAACAAAACAGAACAAAACAAAAACAAGCAAAAACAACTGCAGAAACCTATAAAAATTCAAAGATTAGATTTGGCTTCCTTGTCCATCTTAGCATAGTATTGTTATCTTCATGGCAAAAGATAGGTGGCTCACTTCCCTGCTCATTTACCTTTTATCACTCTATCCCCCACATGCATTCTAAATAAATTTCTGAGCTGGGTATCTGGTATGCTGGTATAGACAAAGATACACTATTAGAAATGAGATAGAAATCTCTTCACTTCTCATCTACCTTTTTTTTATTGTTTATCAATTTCATTACAAAAATGATACCCTTTAAAAAATATTTATTCAAAACCAAGGTACTTCATTCTAAATTTGCAGTTCACTCCAAGAACAATCTTGACTTGAAGGAACCAAAATTCAAATAATCTAATAGAAACTTTACAGTTATTGTTTAAACGTTGATCACAGTGCCCATATGTGTAACATTTGTTGATTTGTTTGTTTAAACTTCTGGTTACTAGCTTTTTTTTGCAGTCTTCACTATCAGAGAAAAGAGACCTTGGAGACCAGATCTTGGTTGCCTATGGGGAAATCTGTGATCATTTGGAGTGCCTCACACCATCCATCTGGGTACTCCAGGGAGTCACAAGTGGCAGTAGACACTTATACAGACCAAATCAAATAGTGTAAAAGGAAATTTACTCTGTAAAGATAGAAGTACTTCACACACTAGATGACAACTAAATGTAAGGCTCCTCATTTGATAAGCTGAACCCCACTGTGAGTGTCTCACTGGAATGACTTCTACCAGCTTTTAAATTATCTGAGTAACTAGTGTTATTTTTTTAAAAAAAGAGCATCAGAAGGTAGTGATGGCAGCAATCCCGTTCCAGTCCTACTACTGTTGCATGAATAGAAATTAATTTCAATTCTCATAACTTTTTACGCATTCACAAACAATTAATTCTGGAGAATCTTACATTAAACTGCTTTCTTAATGTTTTTGTAGTCATCAACTTTTGCGATGCAACTTCTACTTTGTAATTGTGAGCTCAGCTCATGCTCTTCCGTATAATACAAAATCTTACATACACAGAATTTAATCTTTGCATTAAAGTTGTTTTATCTGAACACGTGACAGAACACCAAGCTATTTGTAACAGGATAGCACAAGGTGCTGCCTATATGTCATATGCCAGCAGTGAGTTAAATTAGGCACTCTGGAGAGAGGGGAGTATTTCACTTTCCTGCATATGTTCAGATAAGCGTAGAGAGAGGCCAATTAGGATGATAGAAGCAGTAAGCATCTGTTTGCAGTGTCAGTAATATTTCAGAGTAATCAGGGTTTGTCAGAAAACAAATCTGTATCCTAATCTCAGGAATGACTGGAGGAAGATGACTTCACCAAAGACCAAAAGAAACTGATGTGGGATTTGTTGCAACTCAGGGGGGCCTTGAAAAATGGTGGGTGGAGAACATGCTATGTGGAAAGAACCAGCACTATTTGGACAGAGAGAGCAGAGAGATTGATTTAATCCATCTCATGCCACAGACTTGAATTTTCTCTGGTTAAGAAGTTACTTTTTTCAAGGTTAATATATGGTATACTAATGAAACCAAGCTTAGAGACTGGAGTAGTATATTCTGACATGCTCATTTTAAAGAAAAAATGGCACAATTTCAGCTGACAGCTCATGATGAGCTGCAGACCCATTGTATTCAGTGACTGAAAATACCCAGTTCCCTTAGTCTTCCTTTTTCTTCAGAATATTACAAAAATCATGTAATCCATAAGCTGTTCTTTTACGTGGACTGATGATTTTATACAAATGTGAAATTGCTCTTGGGCTCATAACAAGCCCTGTGGATCCATGTAGAAACACTGCAATCTGATGGTAATCACCCATCGAAATCATTTTCTGATTGCTCTCAATTATATAATTTCTTTTCTCCCCATTTGCCAGATTTTTTGTTGAGCTAGATATGCTTTTAACCCAAATTGCTCTTTCTTGACTGTCACTGCAGAACTTATTGACTGTAAAAGGAAGAAAGAGAAAACAGATTTGCAGCTGTGCATAAACACTACTCAGACATGGTAAAAGAAGTGCCATCTGCTGCTCCACAACCAGTGGGGCATGACACACCTCAGAGCTGCTTATTTCTTACAAAGCAGGTGGGTGTACTGGTAAGAGAATGGGAAAATCCTACCACCTAGTAATAACTACTTTCATATGTTGTAATGTTTACATTTAATGATGAAATACCTCCATGCATTCATGCTATCTGCATTTGAATTATGGATGAATATTATGTACATTTAGTCTGTTAGGAAATTAGTTCATCTTCCTATATGTTCAACTACCAACTAACTTAGATTGGTCACATATTCTCTAAATCTTTGAATCCTATCCGAACGGTTTTATGTTTCATGACACACACTAATTAGGAAACTGATGTCAGATATCAGTGGGTAATTTTGGTCACTGAAATGGTTTTTCACTATGATATACCAGATCGTTACTGCAAACGTTCCCTAATAATATCTCTATTACTTATCAAAAAGGGGGGAAAAAAAATGATTAATGTGAAGGAAAGATAAGATTATCAAAAAACTTGGTGATTTAGACAAGTTCAAAACCAAATAGGGGGGGAAAACTACTGAAGGACATGAAGTATGAGAAGTTTTTATAGAAGGAATTAGGAGGCTAGGAAAAAAAAGATGACAGTAGTAAAGACAACACAGCTAATCCTCAAAGACAAGGATAGAAAAGGAATGCTAAAGATCAAAAAAAATCTGAAAAGTGAAGATATTGCTTGGTTAAGATCTCCTACTTGTATATTACCATATACAGATAGTTTTATTTGCTTATTTTTATCACTGGAATAGAAACTCAGCCATTACTCCTAACAGCGAGGTAAAATATAGTTATCAGAAAAACCCTGATTCTAATTTGGAGAACCATGCAAGTCTTTCTAAAATTTGGCCCTTCCTTGCCTACTAAATGCCATTTTCTCAAAAACAACAACAACAACAAAAACAAAACAAAACAAAACAAAACAAAACAAAAAAACAGTTACAGCTTGCTGAGAAGCATTTAACTTCCAGTAAAGCTGCAAAAAAACAAAATGCAAAAACTGATTGCTCGTTAACAAGTTGATATAAGTACTACCTCTGGCTTCTTCTGAAGCCAAGTGTTTCCATGCACTGAATAGAAGATAAATTTGTCTTAAATATCCAAAACAAGATTGTTTTCTATATGTTTTACAATATTTTTATCATTTTATAGTATCTTACACTGTACAAAATCTACTTTACTGCTGTAATATCTGTGGTGGAGCTAATGAGGGGAGAAAATAAAACAAGATATTTAATGGTATTAGAATCTGCCAATAACTCAGATTAGAGAAGACAACTATTCTGTAGTCTGAATTTAAAATAAAATAGAAATAATTCTAAATAAACTACTCCAATTATTCTGCTGCAGAGAGTCAAAATGAATAAATACTATGAGTGTTGCCTTACATGGGATAATAGATTTAGGTAAGAAATCCAGAAGACTACTTTACATGTCATCAAATAATACATATATCATTTTATCATTTGTCTATCACCTCTGCTATGCAATGGTTAGATAACAATAGCAGTTGCTGGCTGAGCTGAATCTGAGACAGGGAGAAAGAAGAGAAAGAATATTTGATGAACTTCTCTACAACGTTGGCTTCTGACTGTCAAAAGACAGTGCAGGGCCGATGTTAATCTTCATTTCACACAGCCACTGAACTCCCAAAACCACTGCAGGCAATAATACTAGTGCTAATATTAGCAGTAATACTTTTTTTTTTTTTTTTAAATATTGTAGTGATGAAAATGCAGCATCGGTGAAGCTCAAACTTGTACATAAAGATGGAAGAGCCCTTTCTTTAGCCAAGCTCACACACTCTGAGGCCTTAGAGAGTTCCACAAGGGTGACATGAATTTGAGAACACATTCTCAAAACAAAACCCAGAAGTAAGGAAAAAAATAAAACAGCCATGAAAAAAAAAGATGAGAAATGTAAATTTCAAAATGAACATGATATTAGTTCATAGTATTTTTGAGGGAATAGAAGACATTCTTTTAGCTGTTTTTACTCAGGGCACAGAGGATACTTTTTTGTGCTTTTGTGGTCAGATTAGTACAGTCTCAACACCCAGATTTAGGCCTCTGGCTGATACTGCAAAACAGAGAATAACAGAAATAATACTATACAGTTATATGTGAAGTGAAGTCTAACTTCAACTTTGTACTGTTCAGTCCTTGGCATATGCAGTCCTGAAGTGAACTTTAATTACTCTAACAGCTCCAGGTAGGTCAAAGCAGCCCGTGGCTCAAATCCAAGAGATGGCTCACTTGAAGTCTAGTTAATGAAGGAGAACACTTAATTACCTACCCACTGCTGTGCATGGACTGTATTTACAGTGCTTTACATTCAGTTGGGAGGCAAATAAGTTTCTTCCTCAAAGTAACTATTATCTTCCTTTCTGGTGGGAGCAGCTAGGGATACATGGGTGTTGATGGTGGTGGAAGGACCTTACAGAGCACAGATCAACCATGTCTTCTGGGCAATGTGCTAAATCTTCATTAGCAGGTTAATGCCAGTTTTGAAGTAGTTCCTTAATAATCCTTTTCTGGTATTTTACTTTTAAGACAGACAATTCAGAAATGGCTTTGAATTTATCTCTTGAGCCATGAACCTTAAATTCCACATTATTTATGTAAAATTAATTTCACTGGACTAATTAGATCTTGACTAATTAGCAGCAGCACATTTTACATGGGTCTTAAGCTCATATGAAGCACTGAGATAGCCATTGCAATCCGTTCAGACA